CCGGATGAGTTCTGCCTGTTGCCAAATATCTATCAACGAGTGATAGCTCGCCAGTAAGCCCTAGGAATATCCCGGCCTCACTAGAACACCGCCCAGGCTCGACGTCTGCTGTCTAGCCCGGCCTGGTGGTGGGTTCCTACCGTGGGCCTAATTCCTAATGGGCTAAGCGGCTTTCAATCATGAATCTCGTTTATCGGTTGATCCTGTTATTAGGCTAATCCCTTTAAGGGCTGATCCCGTTTATGAGCTAATCCTGTAATTAGGCTGGTCCCGTTAAGGGCTGATCCCGTTTATGGGCTAATCCTGTAATTAGGCTGGTCCCGTTAAGGGCTGATCCCGTTTATGGGCTGGACTACGTAATTGGGTCATGGTCTTAATCCATGGTACCATCAAATAGTTTTGTCCATCTACATAAAAACAATCCATTAATATTGTTAAATGCAAATAAGTCATCATATTAGTATCCAAATAGACAAATCTACCATCTCCAGTGAAGGAAGATTTAATGCCCAAGAGTGATCAACCAACCAATCAATCATAAGGAATCTAACCAATCAATCATAAGAAATCTGAATATAAGCTGCATCACAAACAAACGGAACATCAGCATAGCTTACTCTATATAAAAAGAGGTGGAAAATCAGGTGATTTTCCCGCCCAAAATTGTCACATCAAAATAAAAAAATAAAAATAAAAGAAAATAGACAAAGATCCGTTCACACCATTAGACCATTTGTAGTGGTCAAGAGTCCAAATAGTTAAATTTGGACTCCATCAATTTGAAAACAGTGTTTAGACTCCGTCAATACTGTTTTTCCCTGCATCCGTGCACCGTCAATAAAATACACTCTGCATATATTTTTACATATGAATTTAGTAAAATATTAATTAAATTATTATAAGTAATGTTTTACTTTTAATTGTTTTCCCTGAATAATTATGAAATAAAAAAATACACATTTTGATAGTAAAAATAAATAATTTTCATAATTTTTTTTAAAATTTTTCTGTTAAAAAATGAATTTGTTTAAGTGAAGTTTGATTATAGAATATTCAATTATTTGTGAAGGTTTCATGAATTAAGAATTCCTGTTTCATTTTTTCAGCTCAATAAACTGTAACAGTTAAAATTTCAAAATAAAATCATTTTATATATCACATATGGATGTCATATGAAAGATCGGAAAAATTTATGAATTTTGATATATTTTTTGAAAAAATTAAATGACAAATAAAAAAGTTATATAAGTTTAAAAAAAATTGGGATATAATGATGCAAGGGTGACGCCAGCATGACATCATCCTCACCAAAAGAAAACATGTGGCCGTGCCTTACTTTTCCTTTTTTTCTTTATTTTTTCTTTTTCCTCTCCTATAAACTCACCCTCTATATTTAACACCCTCCATCCCCTTTCCCACTTTTAATACCCCACTAGTATTAAACCCGTGCGATGCACGGGAAGATATATTTCTCATGTGCAAATTAAAGTAAATTTTGGAATAATTTAAATAATATATACAATATAATTATTTACGACATAAGAATTTATATATCATAATCTAATTATATTTATGGTCAATATACACGATATATCAACAAAAATCTATGAAATAAATTTTTCCTCCAATAAAAGTATAATAAATGATGAAAGTTGTAAATGTTTTACAAATTTCAAAATACTTTCCTAAATATAACGTCAGTTGTAAATATAACATCTGTTGTTACATTGTTGCTTTTCCCACTTTTGTCCCATATAGAGGAATAATTGGAATTATTAACACACGAAAGAAAGAACAACAAACATTTTCACACTACTTGAATAGTTGAATTTAGTACACCATTATCACGATTATCAAGTTCAAAAAAACGTACTACTACCTCGATCTATATTGATTGTCATTTTTAATTTGTCACGATTATTATTAAAGTGATTGAAAAATAAAAGATATGGTTCAAATTTGTGTAGAAAAAGTAACATGATAAAAACCACATATTTATTGTCAAAAAAATGAACATAATATTCATTTTGGGATATTCCAAAATGAAAGTAAGACAACTAAAATGAAATGGTGGAAATATCTATTAAAAATTTCATGGATATTTTATTTCATCTATATTACCCATTTAATACATAGTACATTGCAAGTCCAATAAACTAAATCGCAGCCCCAAACCCCAAAATACAATATCCATTCATAATATCCAAAGCCCAAAACCCATAATATAATCCTAAGTACGTCGACAGTAATAGCTAAAGAATTTAAGAAGAAAATGCTGACCTGTCTATTTACTCAATCAAGCATACAATTTCAGTTAATTTTAGAAGTTTTTATTGTTAAAAAATTATGATCAATCATTCAAGTAAATTGTATATCCAAATCCAAATATCACAACCACAATCAATACTTTTATATGTCACTATTTGTTACACATAATTTCATAAACAGTGTAGGATAATAAGATCTTTTTTATCGCCATTTTCAACCAAAGATAATATATCGCACGGGAACATATTGCACAGAAAAATATATAACTCATATTTTAAAATTTTTTTTTGACATACATTAGTAATATATAAATTTAATTACTTCTCATCTCAAATATAAATTAGATCATCGTAATTTAATGAAATAATATAAATTTAAAAATAAAAATATAAATGAATACCTGAGAATTTATAACTGTCTTAGAAACTTCGAAATACTTCCTTCAAGTACAGCATTGCCTATTACATTGGTACTTTTACCATTTTTGTCACATATAAGTATTTTTTAACTACTGATATTTTTGACAGAGAAACATACAATTGACTTTGATTGTGCAACATTGGATAACGATTGTCCTTGATTGCACATGAGCCAATCAAAGGAAATTGTTATCATTCAGACTTGAAAGACAATATCAAAAGAGATAATGTCAAAGACATTCTTGCTATTAAAACCTTTTTCACTTGCTCTTAATCTTGTCAGATTTTTTTTGAAAGCATCCTGTCAGAATTTTTAAATCATTCATTTAAAAATATTCCAGTTATTTGAATTTAAAAAACATAAATTTACTATCACTCCTTTTTTATAACGATTATTTAAAATACTTCATGTATTTCAAGATAGCACTTTTGAATGCCTTTAATAGTTGACAGATCTGACTCAAAGTCCAGCCCAATAGCCCATTTAGCGATTTCAGTCCAAAAGCCCAAGACCCAGAATATAAAATCATCCCCTAACACTGAAGCCCCCTACGTCGATCAGCATACCCTTCCCAGCTGTCAACACTGCTTCCTGTCTATCTTCTCATCAACTTCACGGCCCGACAGGACTCCACCTTAACCGATAGTCATTTTCAACATCTTTAGACCTCACCGGCAGCTTCTACGTTTATCGGCCGCCACAATCGGTGTTCGAGATTTGATGTTTCCGACTATTCTCAAGAGCTTTACCCTCAATCATCAACTATTCTTCTAAGTGTTTTTTCATACAATTGTGAAATACTTTATTTACAATCTATCATTTTTACAGATTTTAGAACAGCTATACGCAGCTTTGATCAGTAGGAAGTTAGGAACCAAAGAAGAAAGGAAAGTTCTCACGGAGACTTTTCTTCAAATCTGTTCAATGGTATTCAACAAAATCAAAACTGGTGTCATGTCTGTAAGTCTGTTAAACACCACAGTACACTATCCATATTCTACTGCCTCCGTCTCAATTTAGTTAGCTAATCTTGACTTTTTTGGTGTAAACTTTGACCAATTATTTTAACTAATATATTTATGAAAAAATTAATAATTTTATACTTTTATAATAATATTTTCAACAAACTTTATATTATTAATATTTTCTCTACATAGATATATAATCAGTCAAAGTTAGATACTATGACTTGAAAAATCAAGTTTGGCTAAGTAAATTGGGACGAAGGGAGTATATAATTCTAAATGGAAGTGTATTCACATTAAAATAGGGAGTAATGGATTTCAATCTTTACTGTTTGAAAACAAAAATCAGATTTAAAGATAGCATGAAAATCTTGATGATGAAACATGAGCAAGATGTTTGCTGCAAACATGCTAATGGCGATGTTGTACCATGATAGAACTATGTGAATTTGCAAAGTGAAAGGCTAGAAAGCAAAGAAATTTGGTCTGTGAGCAACATAAATTTACAAAGAGAATTTGCTAATGGTTTTTGTGAAGCCATGACGCTATTCTTACATTGGCAGAGCTGGGACATGAATTGCCTGTAGAAGCAAATTATATAGGGGATCGGAGCTAGAATGCTTGTATGAAGAAACGATAAATTTAGATTCAAAAAAACCAAACAATTTCATAAAATCAGACTGAAACTTTGATAAAAATGCAATAATTTTTTTTACCTTCAAAGAACAATTCAAATTCTGGATTCAAACCTGCGAAATGCCTTTTCCTTCTGGGTTTAGCCTTGCCGCAAAACACATCCTTATATAGGCGGCAAGCAAGGGTGCTGCAATTACATGCTTCGAGAAGCACAACCTCAAGACACAATTATTTAAACGTCGCAGGCTTTTTACTTCATCCAAGACTCATATAGAATAATGTGCTTTTGTGGATAAATAAACGGTCTCAAATCGTCATTTATGACTATATTAATTACTTAAACTTTGCATGACCAGTAGACCCTTCGAAGCGTTTGTGGCATTCCCGCCCAAACTTTCCTTTCACTTTTCTGTTTTTATATATATATAGATATAAACCATTACTACACACAATTAGGAGTTCAAAAGTTCCACAATGAACATTTTGGACTCCTAATGCCTCACCACTACAAATGGTCGCATGGTAATTCAAAACGTAAATATGTGGCATGTCAGAGACTCACATTCTCGAAACAACTTTAATTAATTGTTTGGTTGACTGTGAGTTAATTATATGTAGGGAAATGTCTATTCCTACTGTACCAATATGTATGCGTGCTAAGTCAGCAATATATTCACGTGTCTTGATTAATGTGAAAGGAGTCATGGTCACATTAATTGCCTATTCATCTCTTAGGATTCCATGCTTGAAAAGTAACAAATGGTCAGTCATTACATAGTGAAATAACGGAACTAAGAAGAAGCGGGTGTGCAGAGCCTTCCATTACATAATACATAGTCAGTCCATTACTGAAGAATTCAATTCATAGCTTCCATGAAGCTTCCTCCATGTGCAAGAATGACAAGGGGAGCTTCCTCATGTTCCATTGAAGCTTCCTCCTAGCTTCAACACATCTTCCTCCCACCTTCATAGTACCTAGTTTTGGTGCTATAAATAGAGAGCTTGGATAGTCTTTCTATCATCAAGCAATTTAGATCATAGATTAGAATACCACAACCAAGTTTGAGTTGTGAATATCCTTGAGAGATATGTGAGGTGTTGTTTTGAGAGTTTTTAGTTAGAGCTTGTATGTCTCTTCTTTCTATTCTTGAAAGTAATAGAAGTGTTTTTCTCTCATATTAGCACGATCCTGTTATTCCCAACAAGTGGTATCAGAGCCTGGTTGAGCTTTTGATATTTTTCCCAGATTTTTTCAGATAAAATTCTACTGTCTGAAAAATCGAGTTTTTTCAGTATTGCTCAGAATTGCAATCTGAATATACCGTTGGATTCGTCTCGTCGAGACGAGAAAACTGGTATTTTTGGGGATTTTTTTGGCCACCGGAAGCTGCCGTACGCGCCGCCAAACGCCGGCCAAAAACTGCCTGCGTCATGCTGACGTCATCACGCGCAGACAGAGGTTGAAGACAGCTGACGTCATCGCTGACGTCATCAGCCAGCCAGAGCTGCGTCAGCGACACCTCAGCGCCACATGTGCAGTCCCAGCACAGTCAGCCGCCACGTCACCAGTCAACTGCCAACTTTCACCAGCGCCCAGTCATCTGCCACGTCATCGCCCAGTCACTGCCACGTCACTGCCACGTCATCTGCCACGTCACCGGTCAGTTTTTAGATTTTGAAAAATTGCAGTTTGGTCCCTCAATTTTTGAAAAATTATAATTTCGGCCTATAATTTTTCAAAAATTGTATTTTGACCCCGAAAGTGCCTACCCACCATTTTCGGCCGTTCCGGACGCAACGGTGCTGCCCGTTTTTCAAAATTCTGCTCTGATTTTTCTGAAACAGAAAATCAAAATTATATAGAAGGTGAAAATGACCTTTGACGAGTCAACTTCATCTTCCGGAGCTATGATTATGCTCACGGCTACCAACTACACGCTATGGAAACCTCGGATGGAAGATTTCCTTAGCTGTAAAGACCTTTTTGATCCAATAGAGATGAAAGGTATTAATCCTGACCCGGCTAAGTCAACGGAATGGAAGAAAATTAATAGAAAAACTATTGGTCAAATCCGACAATGGATTGACCATAGTGTCTTCCACCATGTTGCACAAGAAACCGATGCTTATGCCCTTTGGAAAAAGTTAGAAGATATGTACCAGGCCAAGACCGCCAGGAACAAGGCCCTACTGATGAGGCGTCTTGTCAATATGAAGCTCAAAAGTGGAACTTCTGTTGCCGAACATACTAGTCAATTTCAGAGTCTGGTAAATCAACTATCTTGTGTAGAAATGCCACTTGGAGATGAAATGCAATCTCTACTACTTCTTAGTTCCCTTCCTGATAGTTGGGAGACACTAGTTGTTACTCTCAGCAACTCAGCCCCAGATGGCAAACTTACCATGTCTGTGGTCAAGGATGCACTGTTCAATGAGGAGGCAAGAAGGAAAGACATGAGCACAGATGAGACTCATGCCCTTGTGACGGAGAATCGAGGAAGATCACAAGGAAAGCAACAAAGAAACAGTAGAGGAAAGTGGCAAAGCAGGGGCAAAAGTCGGGGGAGATCATCAGATGGCCGGAAACCTTCTTATACCTGCCACCATTGCGGTATAGAGGGTCACATGAAGAAGAATTGCTACAAATTGCTAAAGGAGCGAGGCAAGAGCAATTCTCAAGCGAAGAGCAAGGGTGGTGAAGCGCTCATCACAATCTCAGGTGATGTGGCGTATTGTACTATCAATGATGAAACATGCCTTCACGTCTCAAGAGAGGACACTGAATGGGTGGTAGATACTGCAGCATCCTACCATGTTACTCCCCACAGGTACTACTTCACAACTTACAAAGCTGGAGACTTTGGAGCTGTGAAGATGGGCAATTCCAGTTCATCTGAAATAGCTGGAATTGGTGATGTACAAATAAAGACGAGTTCTGGGAGCACAATCACTTTGAAGGATGTCAGACATGTTCCAGACCTTCGTCTCAATCTCCTGTCAGTGGTATGTCTTGACGAACAGGGGTATGAAAACCACTTTAACAGGGGCACCTGGAAAATGTCAAAGGGCGTTTTGACAATCGCTCGAGGACATGTTTGTGGCACATTGTACAAAACCCATTTGAGGATTTGTACGGATAGCCTCAACATTGCTGAGGAGACTTCTCATAATCTGTGGCACCTGAGACTCGGCCACATCGGTGAGAAAGGGCTGACTACCTTGATTAAGAAGAACCTTATCAACATCGACAAGAATGCTGCACTGGGTCCTTGCAGTCATTGTCTGTTTGGTAAGCATCATAGAGTATCATTTAGTTCTACTTCAGCTAAAAGATCAGAGTTGTTAAGTTTGGTACACTCCGACGTCTGTGGTCCTTTCGAGGTGGAATCAATCAGTGGAAGCAGATATTTTCTAACTTTTATTGATGATGCTTCTCGGAAAGTGTGGGTGTATTTCCTGATTACGAAAGATCAGGTATTTGAGTGCTTCAAGACATTTCACGTCTTGGTGGAACGTGAAACGGGAAAGAAGCTGAAATGTCTCCGATCTGATAATGGAGGCGAGTATACTTCTAAGGCGTTCGATGCATATTGTAGAGAATATGGCATTCGACATGAGAAGACAGTACCACGCACCCCTCAGCACAACGGCGTTGCTGAAAGAATGAACCGGACTATCATGGAGCGTGTCCGGAGCATGCTGAATATGGCTAAGCTTCCGAAGTCATTCTGGGCAGAAGCAGTCAACACCACATGCTACCTTATCAACCGATCACCTTCGGTACCACTGAACTTTGAAGTTCCAGAGAGGTTATGGACAGGTAAGGATCCTACATACTCACATCTTAGAGTATTTGGTTGCTCATCGTATGCACATGTATCCAAAGAGCTCAGGCAGAAGCTCGATGCAAGAACTATCCCATGCATTTTTGTTGGCTATGGAAATGAAGAGTTTGGATACAGGCTATGGGATCCTAAGGAGAAAAAGGTGTTCAGAAGTAGGGACGTTGTGTTCCACGAAGATTTGACAATAGAAGACATTGAAAAACCCACAATGTCTCGGAAGTCAAATGAGGGTGCTCAAGTTTCAAATGAGCACAATCCACCCCGCCAGACACAGATGATGGTAGCTCTTCTCAGATGGTTCCTACTGTTCGTAGATCTGAACGAGGGCATATACCATCGACAAGGTACACATCATCCGAATATCTTTTGTTAACTGAAGATGGAGAACCAGAGAGTTTTCAAGAAGCTGTATCTCATAAGGATAAAGAAAAATGGCTAATAGCAATGCAGGATGAGTTAGAATCTCTGCAGAAAAATCAAACCTATGAGATCGTAGAACTTCCTAAAGCGAAGAAGGCACTGAGGAACAAATGGGTGTTCAAGCTGAAGAAGGATGCAAACGGACAAGTGGTGAAACACAAAGCTCGGTTGGTTGTCAAAGGGTTCCAGCAGAAGAAAGGAATTGACTTTGATGAGATCTTTGCACCAGTTGTCAAGATGACCTCAATCCGAGTTATACTTGGCTTGGCAGCAAGTATGAACTTGGAGCTTGAACAAATGGATGTGAAGACAGCATTTCTTCACGGAGATTTGAAAGAAGAAATCTACATGCAGCAGCCGGAAGGTTTTGAGAACTCAAATGATAATTTTGTGTGTAAATTATCTAAGAGTTTGTATGGCTTGAAGCAGGCACCAAGGCAGTGGAATAAGAAGTTTGACTCATGCATGAAGAGTCAAGGCTACAAGAAGACTACTGCAGATGAGTGTGTATACATCAAGAAACTTCCAGACGGTACCTTCATTGCTCTTCTACTATATGTAGACGACATGTTGATCGTTGGGAAAGATGCAGTGAAGATAAACCAACTAAAGAAAGAACTCTCTAAGTCTTTTGATATGAAGGACTTAGGACCGGCTCAACAAATTCTTGGGATGCAGATCACTCGAGACAGGAAGAATCGCAAGTTATGGCTATCTCAGGAGAAGTACATTGAACGAGTACTTGAGAGATTCAACATGAATGATGCCAAGCCAGTAAGTGTTCCACTTGCGAATCACTTCAAGTTGAGCAAAAGAACATGCCCTACATCCAAGGAAGAGATCGGGGAGATGTCAGCAGTTCCATATTCTTCAGCAGTTGGGAGTTTGATGTACGCCATGGTATGCACAAGGCCAGACCTCGCACAGGCAGTGGGTACAGTGAGTCGTTTTCTCTCTAACCCCGGGAAGGAGCATTGGGAGGCAGTCAAATGGATTCTCAGGTACTTGAAAGGTACCACGAAGTTATGTCTTTGTTACGGAGGAGCTGATCCAGTCTTGGAAGGCTACACAGATGCTGATATGGCAGGAGATACTGATAGTAGAAAGTCTACTTCAGGATATATCTACACTTTTGCAGGGGGAGCCGTTTCTTGGCAATCAAGATTGCAGAAGTGTGTCGCTTTATCTACTACAGAAGCAGAATACATTGCTGCCGTTGAAGCAGGTAAGGAAATGTTGTGGCTAAAGCGCTTTCTCCAAGAACTTGGGATCCAGCAGAAAGAGTACAAGGTACATTGTGACAGTCAGAGTGCTTTAGACTTAAGCAAGAACTCCATGTACCATTCTCGTACAAAGCATATTGATGTTCGGTATCACTGGATACGAGAGACGATTGATCAACAACTGTTGAGACTAGTGAAGATCAATACAAAGGAGAATCCATCAGACATGCTGACGAAGGTGGTGACACGGGATAAGCTAGAGCTGTGCAGAGACATAGTCGGGATGCTTGTTTTGAATATGCCTGGAAGGGGAGAATTGAAGAATTCAATTTCCAGGTCATATCCAAGTACAAGCAAATTGAAGAATCCAATTCATAGCTTCCATGAAGCTTCCTCCATGTGCAAGAATGACAAGGGGAGCTTCCTCAACCACCATTGAAGCTTCCTCATGTTCCATTGAAGCTTCCTCCTAGCTTCAACACATCTTCCTCCCACCTTCATAGTACCTAGTTTTGGTGCTATAAATAGAGAGCTTGGAGAGTCTTTCTATCATCAAGCAATTTAGATCATAGATTAGAATACCACAACCAAGTTTGAGTTGTGAATATCCTTGAGAGATATGTGAGGTGTTTTGAGAGTTTTTAGTTAGAGCTTGTATGTCTCTTCTTTCTATTCTTGAAAGTAATAGAAGTGTTTTTCTCTCATATTAGCACGATCCTGTTATTCCCAACAATTACATGGTCACATTAAATAGTCCATTTGGCATTCCATGATTTCATCAATCGTACTCATCATCTTCCCTGTGGTGAGCAGAGCCTTCCGTGAAACTATGAAGTTTTTTTTTTAAATGTCGAAGTTGCAATCCAAGCCGACGGAACATAGCTACGGGAAGTGAAATAAAGGATTCCAGCTAGGGTGTGAAGGGGAGTATCAGGGAGATCCAAAAGTGCAAAATCTGGAGGAACCTCTGCGCTCCTGTTCTTCGAGAACTTAAAGAGATGGGATAAATATGAATCCAAAGCTTCAATAGATCCGAATTTGCTTTCCATGTGACGGTGGGTGTCCAGCTTTGTTTGGGACACCCAAACATGGGACTATGCCGGCAGATTCTCTGGGGATGAACATGGGACCATGAAAATGAAGTTTTTTTTTTCCGGATATGCGTCGGGAACCACAGGAAACCATCGGTAGGGGTGAAATAGAAACCTACCGGGTTCCTTGCTTCCTTCCCCTGCTACCGCGGTTGGTCAAACATGTGTACAAGGGAGCGGGTTTTGCCATGGTTTGAAGATAACTGGCTCAGGGGAAGGATTTGTGTTTGGATAGTTTTTTTTTTGTGTTTGGATTTGGGAAGGATTTGTGTTTGGATAGTTTTTTTTTGTGTTTGGATTTTGTGGACTTTTTTCTCTCTTTTAGTATGAATAGTTTTGCAGATTTTATTTTTGTATCTAGGCATTGTCTCAAGCTTGGCACTTTTGTATTTTGGAGCTTGGCTCATCTGTCTCTTCTTTATTGTCAAGCACCCCAAAGGCAACAGTTTGCTATACGGAGTGATACTAATTTGTTACACTTTGGATTTTGGAATTCTGGTGGAGGCACTTTTCTTTGGTTTATGGTTGAGGTATGCTTGAAAAAGCCCATTTATGTGAAAGTATTTTTTTAAATAATCATGCAAAAGAAAATAGTCAAAGCAGATCTATATATACAAACATGTAAAGCCCGTTTGGAGAACTCTGTTTTCGGCTTATCAGGCTTATCAGCCAGCTTTTTCACCAAACACGTAACTTTTGCTTTCGCGCGCTGAATTGTGTAATAAGCCGAAAAAGTAAGGTTGGAGTTACTTTTCTGACTGTATTGGCTGAAGTTACTGTAGAGGACCATTTTAGCTATTTTTACATATAATTTTTTCTTTAATTTATTAATAAAATATATTTTTAAAATATTTTTTTCTTAAATCAGCAGAATCAGCCAAAACAGCCACTCCAGCCAGAATATCATAAATTTCAGCAGAATCAGCCAAAACAGCCGATTTTGGTGCTACCAAACGGGCTCGTATTATGGAGTATTTGTTTTTAAATAAGCTAAAAAAATATCGTATTTCATAATCTGAAATAGGTATTTGCTTTAATTTGTGTAATTTGAATACAATAAATTAGTTAATACTTCATCAGTCATCTTTTTTGTATTAAATGACGTATTAGGTTTCTCATAGAGAAATTAGAATAGTAGGGTAATATAAATGTGATTGGAGTCGGGTTTGTGTTCAAAATTCAAATGAGAAAGTAAAAAGGTGAATGTAGTAAGAAAAGTGTCCTAGATTAAGTGAGTAAAGGAGGACAATAATGAAAACTATGGAATATAATGTACTCTGTATTAAGCATAGTATATAGAAGAATGGGGATGAAATTATTGAAAAAGAAAGTGGGGAACAAATATGGAACACATAACAAATATTAAAAGAATTGATCACAAAAAATGATCAAATGTGCACGATGCATATGTGGAATGAGAGATAACCACATAATTATTAACAAATATTTGAATATTTGTAGAGTGCAAAGGACAAATATATTATAAACACTTTTTTCTAATGTGCTACTCCCGTCTCAATTTAGGATTCCCGCTTGCCTCCTTTAGACATCCGGCCGGTTAAAGATGTAATTCATACGGAGTATTTTAGAGAATAATTAGCAATCTTAAACCAAAGCTTAATCATGAAATGATAAAAATAGAACTTTCATAACATCACAAGTTTCATCAACTTTCTCATTATATCTCACCCATCAAGCTTCTAATAATTTACTTGAATTATCTTTATTAATTACGTAGTATTGACTACATAACCGTACCATTCTTTCAATAGTTTCACTCAATTTCAAAATAGGAACACGTACAATTATTATTTTCCAGAAACATGACTCGCTTGCTCCTAAAAATTGAAAATTTTTATTACTGAAATTAGAAACTTTAGCAACTCTTTTTCTATTAAGAGTAACCATTTTGAATATTATTTTAAAGAAAATAAGAATACACCTTTTATTCACTAATCTTACTCCTATAAGGGTCGTTTTTATTTTCCAAATCACAATTTACATATGTATATATTTTAATGATTATTAATATTAATTTTTACCCAATTTTCTGACCTTGCATCGCACGGGTGAAAATCTAGGGTCGTTTTTATTGCTTATCTCTTCACTCCAAAACCGTGAAGAGATAAGCAAACGCAACAGCGCCCCAGAAATGCATTCCAAACTTCCCTCAATAAATGGCTTGTGGCATCCAACGGCTCACAGTTCCTATAACCTGCAAGGCAATCTCCAAAAAAAGTGGAATTTTTTTTGGAAGGCAATCTCCAAGAGCATGCGCATCACCATATGAAACCGGAAAACGTGGGGCCACTCCTTTCTCCAAGAGCATGCCCATCAGGCCATCACCACATGTTCAAATGTTCATTTGTGCACATATAATGACAAATATTGTAATGAAAAATATACGATAGTAATTTTATATTAAAATAATTTGGTCTTTATTAGTTCTTGAATTACAAATATAATAAGAGTAAGGTCAGGACCGTCTCCAGAACATTTGGTGCCCTAGACAGAGGGGTGGAGACATGATACTGAGCCGATACAAAGAATATTTTGAAAAAACAATTACACGGAAATTTTAACCTTAAAATTTTTGACACTTTTTAAATTTGGGGTGGAGTGCGGCCTAGGTTGGCCTCCCTCTAGCTCCACTCTTGCCTAGACAAATGTATTGACGTAAATAGTCCTGATTTGAAACAAATATACGAAGTAATATTTAAAGAAACATTGTTCATATGAAAAATTGTATGACAAATAAAGATCAAATTTAAGATTAGATTTGATAAAAATTAAATTTAAGAAAATGTTTTGTAAAATAAGATTACAATAAAACAAAATTTGATAAATATATCTTCAAATTGATTAGATATTAAATGTCCACTATTACCTATTTGTACACGTGTGGCCGTGATACAAATTTTAGTTAACAAAAGTTTACTTTTTTTATCCATCTATTATCCTATCATATGTCTATCATCTACAATATCATTTTTTAATTGCTTGGAACATTGTTTAATTGGATATACTCATATACGAATACCCAAAAGCTCATATTTATTATACATTTATAACATCTTTTACCACTTATTTATATTAATAAGAATAATTTTTTATAATGGCGCCCCACATATAAATGGTGCCCTAGGCCCATGCCTAGGTTCCTAGGGCCTAACGCCGGCTCTGAGTAAGGTTCTTTTATAATGTTTACACATGCATATTATTTTACACTATACACATTTTAGTATAACACAAAACTCATGTTAATAATTAAAACACAATATTTAATAAACTAATATGATGGTACCATAAACTCGGACCATAACCCAATTACGTAATCCAGCCCATAAACGGGATCAACCCTCAACGAGATTGGCCTAATTAACAGGATTAGCCTATAAACGGGATCAAGACCTGATCTGGATTAATATTAGATAAGCCGCTGGGCGTAAATGAGAATCAAGCCCACGAAAGGAACCCACAGCCAGGCCGGGCTGGACAGCAGACCTCGAGCCTAGGCGGAGTTCTAGTGAGGCTGGGATATTCCTAAGGTTTACGCGGCAGACTATCATTCAAGCATAACTATTTGGCAGCACGCAGGATTCTACAAGGAACATGGACTTAAAGGAGTTAATCATCATGCAACGTCCCATGTGTTACAGGAGACTCATTCGAATAGAATATCATTAAATAGCATTTATTGTATCAGTTTCCTTCTGAAATACTAGCTCCGAAAGTCTATAAATACTTCTTGTAAATTCCCTATGACGGGATCGGTCAGTTGTTCCTCCATAATAATAATAACAATAATAATAATAATAATAATGATAATAATAATAATAATAATAATAATAATAATAATAATAATAATAATAATAATACCGTCTTACGCTGCCATATTTTTGATATCTCTAGTAGATTTAGCTTTCGTAGTTGGATTAAACCCCATCATATTAAAGGTTCATCTTAAATTAAAAATAGAAAAATAAAAAAATTAATATCTAAAATATTTAGAATACATATATAAATAAAAAATACTTAAGTTAGAAGTTTGATTGGATAAAGAAACAAAATAAACTGGCACTTTTAATAAAGTTTTGTATAATTTTTAATGTTTTAAAGTTTCAAAATTATTGAATATAAAATTAAAATGAAAGGTTGTTAAAGAAAAAAAATTAACGAGAACAAACCACAAAAAGAAGAGGAAACAATAAAGAGAAAAAGAATTAAATAAGAAACAAAAACAATCAAATCAAAACGATTCAGTGCATGCGTGCGGAAGAAACCAAAACTTACCCTATAAATGCCGGCATTACCGCATTACCATATAATTTACCCTGCCCCCATAAGTCCAATTTGTGTTGTCTCTGCTCCGAGGCCATGGCGGCAACCAGCCCCCAATGCCTATCTTCAATCGAGTCCGTGTTGAAGAAACTAACACTCGATCATGATGATTATCAATGTGAGCTGGAAAGTTCCGAGACTTGGGAGTGCATCGATCGAACGACGAATGCCAAATCCGAAGATGAAGAATCCGACGGTGTAAACATCTTCTTATGTAACCTGCGATTAAGGGGTGTTTGGAACTGATTCTGTTTCTTTTTTTTAAAGCAGAAGCAGAATCAGAATCATTTTTCAGAAGCTGGTACCCCCAGCTTCTAAAAAACTGATTCTGAGAGTAAATTAGAGCACTCAAACACTCCAGCTTCTGCTCAGAGAGCAGAATCAAATTTGAGAATCAGATCCAAACACCCCCTAAATAACCTAATTTTTGAGTTTCCATCACGATTGTTTGATCAATTAAATTAGATTACATCGAATAATTTGGACATGTGATGCAATCAATTTGGTTAATGTTGGACTCCTTTGTTCTCTTTCCTTTTCTTTGATATTGTTATACAACTTGTATCTATGACTTTTAGTTTGTAAAATAAAAAATTTCATACTCTAAACTGTAATGAACTAACCACTAGCATTGTAATATCCCAACTTTTGTGTGTGTTTTAGGATCTTACGGAAATAGAACCCAAAGATTACCAAGATGGACTCTATGTTGAACTCTGCAACTCAGCTCTTGCTTACTACATGGATAAGCATGTATGTGTGTGTGTCAATGCGCTTCCCTAAATTTTTAATTTTCTAAAATATGCCTCGATGTTTTTTTTTTCTCATTGGTTTGTCACTTTAGCCAGGAGAATGTTATGAGTTCAAGAGCATGAAAAGGGGATATTGGTGGATTGTTTGGTCAATGACTTATGAGCTGGTATTTTGTGCTAAAAATCTGAACATGGATGATAAACGTCTACAAAACTTCATGGCCAGTGTTTCTTGTCATCAATGGAGGGGGCCTGAAGTTCGCAAAATAAAGAAATGTGTGCTACTCAAGGATGGGGTTGAGCAGTTTGAGGAAGTGGTATTTCTAATATTTCTAACTATAGTAAAACATTTACCTATTTCTGTGATATTAATAACCCTCATATATGTGAGTGTATCAATTGAAGAATTTTTATTTTATTAATCTCATTGTTGTATATTTCATTTTTCTTCGCCATGTTAGGATAACATTAGCGATAGTATGCCAGAAATTCCACTTGAAGATCTTCAGAAAAGAGGAAGAGAATATGAAAATGCAGTTGAAATGTGCAAATTGGCTATTCAAGATTACCAATCTAACCATGTATGTATCTCAATTTTTGTTCAAATGTGCCTACCATCTGACATGTCCAGACCCGTACTTGCATAATCAAATAGACCCATTGGGTCTTTCTGACCATTTTTCCTAGACATGGATGCATTTCCATTTGGTTCATAACCCAGGTCTAAAAGGCTCTAGCCTTTTTATTTGACAGGGGTGGTCCTGTTAGTTTGAAGGTCTAGGGGCGGAGATTTTAAAATGGGCTTAATTTAAGAACTGCAAAATATTTTTTTATCTAAACTAATATTTCGTAGGAAGAATTGATAGTAATAATCCCAACTATTGGCGGTCCACTAAGAATAATCCAACTATCAATTATTTCAGAATAATCCCAACTTTAGGGACCTTCCGCCAATAATGGTCCGACGTGACCGGTTATAAATAAATTCCTATAGTTTCTAAAGTGGATGAGAAGAGATATAACATGTAATTCCTATAAATAATCCCAACTTTTAATTTTTATGCTTAATTTCTATTTAAATTCACCTGTTATAGCAGGTAATATCCGGTCATATACCATTATTGGCGGACGGTCCATATAGTTAGGATTATACAAAAATAATCAATAATTGGGATTATTGTTAGCGGACCAACAATACTAATTGGACCTAAATTGCGAATTAACGCATCCCCTTTTATTAATTAATGCGTCATGTTGACCAGAGCTGTTTATAAGTTGGAAACATATTATCTATCATAGATATGCTGTTCAAAAAAGTATATATAATTAGTATGGTAATATACCATTTTACATTTAAGTATGAGATTCTATTAAGCATGATTTGTTGATTTTTAATGTTTCCACTTTTCTAGCCTGAAGAATGTTATGAGTTTGTGAGCCTGAAGAAGGTGAAACGTTGTCTTAGTCATGGTTTTGAGTACAAACTTGTATTTCTAGCCAAAAACATGACTCTTTATGACAATCCTCTGGCAACCTTTCAAGCCTTGGGTTATCACCTCATGCGAGCTGTTGAAACACTTGACTGCAAGATCCTTGAATAGGGTTATAGTATGGTAACCTGCACTGACAACATACTTATCTAGTCTATATGTTTACTAAGTAGTGTTCAACACTGTAATCTCAGGACTTGGTGTGGCGTTCTGTCTTTGTTGTGTAACTCTGATGCCTATTAAAAATTCAAGTGGCTATCTTAGGGTGTTTCTACAGTTTTTTTATATCTTAGGATGTTTCTACAGTTTTTATCAAAAATTCTGTTTGATGCGTTTGTTTCATGGGGTTGATCTAGGGGTGGAGCGGGACCGGGTCGGGCTTAAGAAATTCAGGCTCGCAACTTGGCTGGGTTTATACCGGGACCGGGTCGTAGGGCTGAGCACGGATCTGGGAATTCCCGTTCCGTACCAAAGAACCGTCCCGAACCGTTCCAGAACCGATAGAACCGGAAAAATGTAAAACCGTACCGTACCGTACCGTACCGAGCTTTTTTAATAATATGGTACGGTAGTACGGTACCGGTTCTTAGTGAGAACCGTTCCGGAACCGTCCCGGAACCGTATTGTCCCGAACCATCCTGTACCGTCCCGAATTGTCCCGAAAACTAGTGTCAGATTATAATAATATGTTATACATAATGTTTTACCGAGTATAAATGTTAGTGGCCATATGTCCCGAAAACTAGTGTTATAATATACGAGTAATAATACTACGTATATTATATATA